CCTTTCATTGTCAATCCAACCACGTCTGGGCATTTCCCACTCTCTGCCATGTTCATAAGGTGTATCATCTTCTTTTATTTCCTTGTCAACAAAGTTCCCTTGCCTTCTTTTCCACCCATCTTTAGAACCATCCCGAACTCTGTTTCTATCACTCCAGCCATCATCCCTTCCTTTTGATTTATCATCTCTTACACCATTTTTTTCTTGTTCTTTCCTTCTGAAAGTATCTCTTTTTTCATATTCCATCTCAACGCTTTCTGAGTCGTAATGACGCCTTCCACTCCTCTCAGGTGTCCTGGACCTATCGGAGTAGTCTATCTCTCTCCTATTTCTCTCTTTCACCCCTAAGCCGACATCATCACCTGCTACCACAGACCTTTCAAGGCTGTCAGCCACGTCGTGACTTGTGGCACTTTTTAGTTGTCTAAGCTCCTCACATCTCTCCACACCCAATTTATCTTCCCGTATAGGAACATTTCCTCCATTGTCTTCCTCTGTAGCATACAATCTGCCTCTCTTACTCCTATCGCAGTCAATCTTTCTCTCGTCACTGTCTGGGTATTTATCATTTTTGTCTCCAATTGGATCTTTAAGGCTTTCCAACAGCATATGACCCTTTTCTCTGGCGCTTTCCTTTCTTTCCAAACGTCTAGAATCCCTTTCCAGCGCATTTTCAGAGTCCCCACCATGTAGCTTTTCATTTTTACCTTTATTTCTTGTCTGGGTACCATCACCATCAGAAAACCTTGAAGTTGATTTCCTTCTGACACTCTCATTAGATAGGATTTCTCCTCTACCCCCTGTTTTGTCTCCATTTTCATACTTGCCCCCAAGTTCTCCATCCTGATACCAATTGCTCAACGTCTCCAATGTATTCTCCCCCTGTTTCTTCTTCATCAACTTAGAACGGGAGTCCTTTTCGGCCTCATAGTCATCCTCATCAACATCAGCTTTGCTTGATCCACCTGATCTTTTCCGACTCTCATTTCTGTCCACAGTACTTCTCCTTCTTCCATTACTATCTAAACCTTCAGCTTCTTCGCTGTTCCCAGACCTTGACTTACTTGACCTGTATTTTCTCTTATCATCCCTTTCCCAGTCATCATCAAATTTTAAGTCTCGATCGTCCTGTTTCAGATAACTCCTAAGTCGTTCAGGGGAAGTCATCAAGAGAGAAAAACCTCACTTGATTATTCTCAGCACTTCATTGAGTGAATGCAATATGAAACAGCATCCTGAGAGATGAAGAGAAATGGAGAAAATCATTAATGAGCTTACCTTTTAGTGAATCTAAATTCAAGAAAGGACTCATGATATAAGAGACAGACAATATCCAGTAATCATAAAAGGACAATAAGGTACCATGGGAGAGAGGAATGCGGAGAATAAATATGCATATTAAAGAGGAGCCACATTCCAATATTGACAATTTAATGATGCTAGTGATAGGATATACATGCAGAAGGAAGGAATGGCTTGAGGCGTGGGACAATTACTGTCTTGACAGTGATTGTCTTTCTACGCGGTTAGCTGACAATGCTCCTTTGTGATACAAATAACAGCTAGTGACTATTTTCAACCTACCACAACCTTCCTCTGAGTGGAACCGGCAATGTGTAGCTCACACAGGTGAGTTCACAAACCATAAAATCCAAACATTAATGTTCAAATTTCAAACACCATATTTCATAAATGAACAGAGCACAAAATAGATAGATAATAGCCACTTTATTTCTTTTTGATCTTACAGATACTTTCAAAATGAACTCAAACCAACAGAAAATTATCCGCTTGGAAATAAATCACAATCTCGTGTGATATTACGCTGAAGAATTAGCAATCAATACCTAATCACAATGCAATCAATCAGTTACAAAATCAGGCACCAGAAACTAAAAGTTCATATCTTTCCGAAACTCATGTGCTCTTCGTATGAATACTTAATGACTCAAACAGCAGAAAACATAAGCATAATTCTGAATATACAGACTTTGAAAATATTTCTCAGTGATTATTGAACAAAAGTTGAATGAGAGGAAAGCGTAAGCTTACAAACTGGAAGCAAAATGAGCGTTCTAAACCGGAAGAAGTGGAGTACTCTTTTATACCGGCGTAATTGGCGGCGAGCGACGGCGGTGCCCTCCGGTGACCAATTCACGGCGTCGTCGTAGAAGCGTCGAAAGTTATAAGAAGAGGCAAAAGGAAGAGAAGAGAGGAAGTAAATCGGGTTAGAAGTGTTTGGATCCGAAAGCTAGGTTCGATGAAGGGTATAACTAGAATATTAGCAAATATATAGGGGCAGTTTCGGCAATTCAACTCATAGAGCACGATGTTGTACGCTATGCTGCTGCTATTTTACTGGTCAAAATTAGTTTGATTTAAAAATAAAAAAAAAGAGTCACAACAAAGTTTATAAATTTAAGAAGTTTTATAAAATAAAGACTGTAAAGTAAAGACAAGTATAGAGAGAAACTGATATATTATTCAAACTTCAAACTTCTGTACATAATGAACTGAATTCCCCTCTATTTATAGAAGAAAGGAAGCTGCTGTGTAAGCTGCTACTGCAAGCTACTGTANAAATCACCATCCAATAAGTCCTAACATATATTTCATATATAAATAATCACCATAGAGTAGTTAGAGATGGTAGACATACCTCTTGTAGTGAGATTCTTGAAAATTACAACTTGTAGTGTTCTTGACCAATTTGGGGATTTGATTGGAAATCTATGGATCTTCAAGATTAATCCTAGTTAATATAAGTATTTAGGAGTAGTAATCAACTCAAAATTACTCCAAAAACATTACCTTGGTTCATGGTAGGGAAGTATAGGATGGGTTCCCCCTTGATAAGCAAGACCTAGCTCAAAGAAATGACTTAGCCCCTCTCTCTACTCGGCCTTGGTGGTATTTATAGGGCTCCTACGTGTGCAGCCGCGCACCTGGTCAAGTGATCGCACATCTGGTCGTGCACATAAGGCAGAAACTCCCTTATATGCGCGGTCGCACATCTGGGCGCGCATATGGCATAGGTCCGGTAAAATGGCCATAATGTTCTGTAGAAATATCCAAATGACAAACGGTTTGATGCGTTGGAAACTAGACTCAAAGGGCTTTAATTTGGTAGGTATAGCACCACCTAAGTGATTATATTTTTGGAGTGGCGTTCGTTTGAAGTCGGGTTATGTGCTAATTGAGACATCCTTTCCACTTAATGTGTCCAACTTGTTCCACACAAATTCTTGCCATTCACAAAACTCCTTAGTATGATCCAACACACCTTAAACATATATTTTCATTTCAAATTGATGTGGTTCTATTCCATAGGTCTACTTTAATACTTGAATGTGCTATCCTCAAATACCGCCGACGCACATTAAAATCTTAAATCAGTAGGAAATTGTAACGGGGCCTTACTATCACCCTGTAATTCCAATTACATTAAGAGAAAATCTAAGTAATATTTGACCTAAATATTAAGTAAAATTA